CGATGAATTATCTTTGGATGGAGCAAGTTTCAAACAAGTGTCATTTGAACAATCGTTTGAAGTGGCTAAGTTTGATTTTTCGTTAATATTTATCTATGATCCACTATTGGAACATAATAGATTATCATTTCATTTAACTTGTTCACATGATTTATTTGACGAGAGTACAGTTAGAAATATAGGTCGAAGATTAGAATATTGTTTTCGACAACTTTGTTCATCCAATCAAACTATAAATCGAATTGATACGTCTTTTACATCTATATCGAAGTTTAATCTTATTCTACCAGAAGAAACTGAAGAAATGGAAGATGTTATCTTTTGTCGACAATCACATATTATAAACGAAGGTATGTTTATCTAGAAGTGATGTTTTTCACAGTTAGAATTTCTATCGACAATGAATACGTTATCAGAAATTCACTGAGAATATGTTTGTGTATCGTTCGGATCATCAGGAAACTGACGCTCAGTCATAAAGTGTCGATGAGACTGTGAGTGAATGTGAACGTAGGATTTTTATTCGTATACTTGCCAACGCCTACGCACTTACACCTATCCATCTACTCATCCTCAGCCTTGAAAACACTACAAATTAGTCTATTCCGCTTTTTGCTGCTCTCTCAAAGGCTGTCAAAAACGTTTAGAAAATAATAAAATATGCTTGGAAAGTGATGATCACGGGAAGCGGGTATGATAGCACTGACTGCCTTGGATTTCATAATTAAAGGTTTTAGATACTTTGCTGTGCAGTTTTTATAGAGATTTGAATGAGAAATCGTTTGTAACGAAGCTTACATTTCTAGGATGGATATTGGCAGAGATATTAGTAAAACACTGATGATATCATCGTTGATGCCGCACCTGATACTAACATTTTATGATATTTGTAGTCGAAGGAAACACTGACTATTCGTAACAATCCTCCCTTTCAATCACTGTGGATCATTCAGATAGATCAGAAAATCACTCTGAAAAAAATGCCTTTTGTCTAGAAAACAGATTTTGAAGGTATATAGGAAAATGTCATGATGATATACGGAATTATCGTAATTGATAAAGGTAGACCTAGTGTATATCATCGAAATAATGATTTACTAGTTGCACCGATTTCTTCGTAACTGCATAGGAAAGATTTAGACAGAACTAATAAGAATATTCACAGAAACTATCAGCTAAGTATTTTTACTAGGAAAATAATAATACTTTTTGTTAGTATTTTAGATAATAGCATGACTCTTGTCTGTTATTAGTAAAGAAAAGCAATTACTCGGCATTGACATTGAATTTTTATCAGCATCATGTAAATGCTAGTGGTTTCCATAAAAAGCAATACTGTTCTATTTCTAAAAGATAAATTCTCAGATGTGAACAATTCAACTTTTTCCAGGAGACCGTCTGTTTGTGCATCGTGCGAATACTAATTTGATAAGTGTGCCAAACTATTGTTTTTTTACCAACATCAACATAAAGCAGCTTACTAATAGTATCAATGCGTATAAAAAAATTCAAAGCAAAACTATCCCAGTAGATGCTATTGAGGCTAGCAGTATCTACCAATGTTTGCAGTAGGATCCGATCGGATTTCACGATAGATCTTCCGTCTTGGACGGTATTAAAATACTTCTTTTACAGCCAATACAAAATACTAACATACTCTTAACATAAATACTCAGAAGAGCACGCTTAATATGGATTCTACTCAGTTAAAGAGGCAATTAGATGAAAAGTGGTGAAAATATTGATATGAAACATCATTTGACAATTCAGCTCTAATATTATAATTCATTCAATCCCCATCATTCTAGCACCAGCATCATTTGCACAAGCTCGTATTTGGCTTGACGAAAGAATTCGATTCGATCCAGACAAGCCTCAAATAGCCATCTATAATATGCCTTTTGTTTATCGTTTGCAACTAGACCATACTTTATCGATTAGACAACTTCATCAAGCTCTTCATCTCACTATTAACAAACACCCCTCACTTCATACTTCACTTCATTTTGACATCCAAAAGAATCTACTTATGCAACGAGTTGTTACTCATGAAGATAAAAATAATAATAATAATATATTTTCAATCATCGAAACTACTTATGAAACAGATGAACAGTTGAATAAAATTTTACACGACGAGAAACGTAATCCCCAACTTTTTGATCTTGCTCAGGGTCTTGTCTTTCGATGTCATATTATTTATTACAAACAAATCTCTCCAAATCATCTTCTTTCTCACAAAGATCTACTTATCTTCAATTTTCATCATGCTCTATTTGATTTTCCATCAATGAATATCTTTCTTCATGA